AAAACAAAAACAAAAAAAGAACACAGTCAAGTGTGTGTACGTACTGCTTATATTTGATTTTATCATGCCTAGAGACTCTGTGAAGGCCAGTGCTGGACTAGTTCCCAACTCTGTCCAATAGAACTTTCTGCAAGGACAGAAACATTCTACTGCTGTGCCGTCAACATGGTGGCTAAGAGTAACCTGGCTGCTGGCCATCATAGATGTGGCCGGAGTCTGAAGAAAAAAATCACTTTTGGTAGAAGATAAGGAAAGGGCTGTGCCTGGAAGTGACTGAGTCTTCAACAGTGTGGCCTGAGAACAATCTGTTTCCTGGTCTCCTAGGCTAGGGCACAGCATAATACATTTTTTTTCCCCCGAGAAAGGATTTTTCTGTGTAGTCCTGGCTGTCCTGGAACTTGCTTTGTAGACCAGGCTGGCTTCAAAGTCAGAGATTCCCCTGCCACTGCCTCCCAAATACTGGGATTGAGGACGTGCATCACCACACTCAGCTGAGTCTAAAAGAGTTAAAGAAACTTAAGCTCTAATGCTCTCCACTTCCCCTACAAACTTTAAGGTAAAGGACCACAAGGAAGCTGTCAAAATGGACCAGATTCCGCTGATGATTTAGGATTGACAAATCCATCCTCACTGCTTGTCTAACAGGAGAATCTTTGCTCTCCTTGGGATGCTTTCTCAGCCCCTCACAGTTTGCATCACCTTTCCCTCGAACGATCCCTATTTTTAAGTCCTTACTCTAAGCCATTAACTCCATGTTAATCTGTTTATCCATGTGTTTATAAACTAATCTGTTACCAGTTTATTTCATAAACTAACACTATTCATCTTTCAGAAGGAAAAGAAAAACACAAACTTTCCTACCAGATGTCATGGCAAGGTGTTGGGGACAGGCCATGACTCCCATGCCCTTCTGCTGTGCCCCCACCCCCACCCCTGTAGCTCTCAAACCCCGAGTGAGGGTGTATGGAGGTAGAGAGGTATGACTGACTGACTGTTTGCCATTGGCCATCAGCTGACTTTTAGCCCTTCCTTCCACAGGAGGAGCTCTGAGCTCCAATCTGAGGCAAACAGAGCCCCACCTAGTGCTGTCTGAGGATTTTCCGTATATCACTTCATTGACATAAACTTGGGAAGGTTGAACAGTGCTTGTTGTGACTAGCAAAGGAATCTCACCATTGTAACCACGGAGCTGCACAGCTTAAAAGGCCAATATTCCGCTATAATAGTCTTATTTCTGTAGCTTTATGACATTTTAAGGGGTCAGGGAGAAGGGACTGGACAGGTCGGCAAGAGGATCACAAGTTCTAGGCCAGTCTGGGTGAGACTGTTTCAGGAAATCAAAATGCAAAGAAAATGGATAGTATTCGCATATAATGTAAACAAGTGCTATACATTTCAAAGTCTCTCTAAACAAATCAAAACACTTAACACCAGGTAAATACTATATAGACAGTTGCTATGCTGCGGACTTAGAGTAAGTATGTACATATTCAGTGTGGATGCAATCTATTTTTTTAAAAATATTTCTGACCCATGGTTGGTTGCAACCCAAGATGAGGAAGTCACAGATGCAGGGGGCAGGGGTGGCACACAGCACACTCATTTTTAAGGATTGATATCTATTTGGACTTCATGGATGCAGTATCTTGGCACAACTATATTTCTTCAGTTGACACAAACGATGTCCCGAGGAAACCTTTTCTACAGTACACATCCAGTAGCTGGATTTTTATGACAGGTTAAACTTATAAACTAACCAACTCAAAAACAATATGGTTCACTTACTGTTGCTGCCTCTTCCAGGGCCTGTTTGTTTCCTCCAAGGGCTTGAAAAAGAACATCATATTTAGTTACTATTAGGTCTGAAGGATGAATTGTCTTTCCCAGTACTATCCATTATCTTTCTCAAACTGATCGGTGAAGCCTTGGGGCTAGCACTGCCTTTCACAATCTTTCTTCCAGTTTGACCCTCACTGCTGTAGCTATTCTCCATCTGTGTCCTCAGAGTTCCTGTTGTCCCCAAATGTGCAGCTGTCCCCACGACCCAGTGCTTTGATACAAAGCCCTTCTTCTGCTCAGTACTTGTCTGTACCCTACAAATTTCTACTCATTCTTTAAAGCTCTGCTCAAATGCCGCACTCAAACCGTTCATTTTTCTACCATAATAGACTGCTTCAAAGTGTAAACACACGCGTACTTAGCATAGCAAGCTACTCAAAAGCTACTCAAGCCGGGCATGGTGGCGCACGCCTTTAATCCCAGCACTTGGGAGGCAGAGGCAGGCGGGTGAGTTCGAGACCAGCCTGGTCTACAGAGCTAGTTCCAGGACAGGCTCCAAAACCACAGAGAAACCCTGTCTCAAAAAACAAAAAAACAAACAAACAAAAAAGGTACTCAAACTATTTAGTTGTCTGCTCCTGCCTGAACTGGATGCCAGAGATTATATCCTTTGGTCCTGGTAAGAACCTGGCACAGTAAATGTCAGACTAAAAAGATCTTTGTTAGATCCAGATGTAGAATGAGAACTTAGGTTAGCTCCTCTTATTAGAAATCCTCCCGAATCCCTCCTATGTATAAAGTGAAGATCTTGGGCCTTATAAACAGAATGGCCAGGGGTCCAAACAGACTCTGCCTCCAAATATGTGAGCCTGAGTAAAGTCTCTCTCTGTATCCTAACCTTATCACGCTAAAACTGGTCTACTGTCTGGCATGGTGGCACTCGCCTTGAATACCAGAACTCAGAAGTCAGAGGCAGGTAGATCTCAAGTGTGTTCAAGGCCACTTTGGTCTACCTAAGAGAGGTCCATGACAGCCAGGGCCACAAAGGGACCCTGTCTCAAAAACAAAACCCAAACTGGTTTACTATTATTAATTTGCACTTACTGGTTACTACTCCCATCTTTTTTGTAGTATTTAAAATTCTAATTCTATATAATCCCCCCCACACACACAGGTTTCTCTGTGTAGCCTGGCTGTCCCAGAGCTCACTCTGTAGACCAGGCATATGCCACCATCACCCAGCTCTATATGAATTTTTAAAAGACCCTTCTCCACTAACCTATAAGCTTCTAGTGTGGAGACAGTGTCTGCTTTGTTCCTTACTGCATCTTTGGTACCCAGTATAGTGACTAATGTTTAACTTTGTAGAAATGAATGAACATGTGGGTTAATACGGCATATCAGAAGAATCACGGCTCCTGCGAGTAAAAAAAAAAACAAGCACTTCCGCCCAGGGAGAAAGAGACACACCGGCAGCTATCGGTGGTGAGGAAAAAGGAGCGAGAGTGACAGCCACCTAATGGATGAGAGGGAACAACGCCTCCACGTTGCACTGAAGTCTAACAAGTGGTGGGAATGGGGTGAGATTTTTCTCTGGTCAGAAAACCACTCCTGTCTTTGCAGTTCACAAGTGACTTGCTCATGTTTTAAACTGGCGGCAATTTCCATACAAAAGAGCTGTTTGAGGAGACCGTCCTAATTGAGCTTTGACAAAACCAAATCATTTTTTTTTCACAATTTATTCATTCATCTTCAAAAGTCTGAGTATACACAAGTATTTCCTGATGTGTGAAAATTATGTGAAATTGACATTCCGTGTGCCCAGAAATAAAATTCATCATGACTCCTTTGGAACTCTAACAGAAATCCAGTTCCAGAAATCTACAATATTTGTTACCTGGCCTATTAAGAGAAAAGGTTTGCCTACCCATGGGCTGGATGACAGTCCCGGGTGAGACTGAGCAATAGGGTGGATTTAGATCACAACCCCTCCTCCCCTAAATATGGGTGTGTCTCCCCAACCATCTCCTTGGACAGAGAGAGAGAGAGAGAGAGAGAGAGAGAGAGAGAGAGAGAGAGAGAGAGAGAGAGAGAGAGATATCCTCTGTAAGGCCTAATGCCCCTGTCCTTGCCTATTGGCAGGTAGGCTAGCTTATAGACTAGGTCAGTGTGCAACACCCTCCCTCAACCCCTGAGAGCCTCCGGACTTGAAGGCGCTGTCTCTTCTCTCCCTTAAGGCCCCCATCATCCTACCTACCTCTGATATATGTCTGCTAATGCTTTCCCATTCGGCTGTGAACGTGAGGCGCGCTATCCTAATAAGAATGCTCATCTGAGGGGTACTTCAAGTCAGCTCCCTTTCTAGGGCCCTGCCATTCGATTATAAGTCATGACAGCCGGCAATTTCCCACGGGTGGTTATGGTAGGCTTCATTAAGAACGAGTCGCTGCAGAAAGCTTTCAAGACAAGCACTAGTCAGCTACCGGGAAGATGCTAGCCCCTCTTACCAAAGTAGTCGAGCCAGTTCATCTCGCGCAGAGCCTTGGGGAGCCGAAGGATCTCGATGTTGAATAAGTTTTCCACCTCCTTGAGGAGGTTCTGTCTGTCGGACTCGATCTGCTTGGTTCGAACTAGCACTGCAAAGAGGTCAAAGCCGGATTCCCGTCGTCAACAAGAGGGCAAAGCCGTCGCCACCGCGCCCCAACCCGCCCGAAATTCGCGAGGGCCGCGAATCCGCTCCTTACCCTCGCGGTCGAAGTCCTTCAGGAAGGACGCGAGCTTGCGGCTCCGCAGCGCGTTGGTCTTGGAGCGGCGGCTGCAGCCCTTCCTGGGAGCCATGGCGCCGGGGTGAGGGCTGCGTCGAGGGAAGGACCGAGCAGCCGGGTTCGGCGGCTGAGACAGGGAAAGGGGACGTGCGCGGAGCGGCGGGAGTTCAGTCGTTGGAGGCTGGGAACCCAGAAGTCTGCGGACGCGGACCTGCAGGACCCGAAACACAGACACAGGAAACCTCGCAGCTCCTCTGCTAACCGCCACCCAATTTAAACTCAACGAATACAGGATGGCCAATAACAAGTCACCGTCTTGGGACGCTTCTCACAACGCCCAATCACAACAAAGTTCCTTCTCCGTCCCTCCACCAATTCTCATAGAGGACTTCAACGCCCAGAAGTCATTGCGGCCTACGCCTTCTTTTCGCGACTTCCGAATTGCACTAAGTGGAATTAGACTGTAGGGTTTGCGTTTGAGCATGTGCAGACAGTGCTAAGCGCAGTGTGGCTCTTGGTGTCCACTCAGTTTTGACTAGCCAGGATTTAGGTTTTCCTGCTGGTTTAGGGACACGGCTGGCAAGCTCAAAGAGAGGCGACGAGACCCTGCCTCCAGACGCACGGCTTCGAGGAGAGCCAGGCTCCAGGGGACTCGCAGTCTAAGGCAGAAGATTTCCCTGTCCTGAAAAAAACTCTTCTGAAGACTTCCAGGACCCTCTTCCTGAGGTGAGAAGGAAGAGTCCTTCCACAGAGAGAGCTGGTAAGAGGACCGCCAGACCCTCCACTCTTGAGTGTCAGCGGTGACAAGACAAGAGACACAGCTTCACCCTCCCACCCTTAGCAGCATGAGGTGCTCCCCAGAGCTTTTAGGGACTGCAGCTCAGTCGGTGACTTTGACAATAAAAAGGATTCAGGTCTAGCCAGTTCATTTATGAAGTAGAATCAGTCTCTGTCTCTGTCTCTGTCTCTCTCTCTCTCTCTCTCTCTCTCTCTCTCTCTCTCTCTCTCTCACACACACACACACACACACACACACACACTTGAGTAGGGACTCACCATGTAACATTGGCTGGCCTGGAACTCTCTTTGTAGACCAGGTTGCCTCAAACTCAGAGATCTGCCTATCTCTTGTCTCCTCAGTGCTAGGATTAAAGGTGCATGCCACAATGTCCAGCCTAAAGTTCTTTTTGATACAGGCTTAAGCACAAGGGTTAAGAGCGAGGCACCTAGAGAGAAAATAAAAGACACTCGCCAGCTGCTCAAAGAACCTCAGAAAGCAAGACATAGCCAAGTGGGTGTGGGCTTCTAAGGGAGAGTCAGTAATTGATTGTCTTTTAACATTAATCACGTATACTACTTTGATGGCTTTCAAGATGAATCTCAAGAAGGTTTCTTTAAAAAAAAAACAACTCTTATTCCCTTCTCTGCCTTCTCTTTGATAAGAGAAGGAAGTGAGGTGACTTCTAAGATGCCTTGGACGATATTATAAGCTAAAAGGTGAAATCAGGAGCTGCTATGGTTGTACCAGGGGTACCTTCCTTTCCCTGGAGTGGGATTTTAGAAGATTGAAGGGTTACAGCTGGGTGGGGAGGAAGGCCTTAAGCAGCTGGTAATTGTACTGCTGCAATCTCACTTTGTTGTTGACCAGAGCCATCAACCTGCTTCCAGGATGGGAGCCCATGTTCTTTGTCACGTCCCCCAGCACCTCCCTACCTTTCTGCATTGCCTTAGGACTATTTGAAGACCAAAAGCTGGCCTTCTTATGAGGTCAGATGTGACTCACCCTTGACCCAGGCCCTCCCCTTCTGGTACCCTGACTCTTGGTTTTGTCTTCCCAGAAGATGGCTCAAGACCAGCCTTTGCTGGCCATGCAGGAGGTCCTGAGGAAGTGCTTCCCCGTGGTGGAGCAGCAGCAGGGCCTATGGCAGAGCACTCTGCAGGACTGCTCGCCCCTCCTCTCCTCTCTCAGCAACTTGGCAGAGCAGCTCCAGGCTGCACAGAACGTGCGCTTCGAGGATGTTCCTGCCCTTCGTCCCTTCCCGGACTTACAGGAGCGGCTGAGGCGCAAGCAACTGGAGGCTGGCGACATCGCCCTGGACAAGCTAGCTGACAGGCTGTAAGAGACTCCATGGCCCCCTTTTCTTGGCGGGAAGATCTTAATGCTTCGTGGTATCCCAGACCCAGTAAGGGTGGGCATACAAAAATTACAAAAGCAAGGTGGGAGTGGTCATTCAGGGGACTAAGGTTGAAGGATTGTTGAGTTTAAGGCCAGCCTAAGCTACATTATAGACCTTGTCTCAAAAAAAAAAAAAAAAAAAAGAAAGAAAGAAAGAAAGAAAGAAAGAGAAAACCAGGTCAGGTACATGTCTTTAATCTGAGCAGTCAGGAGGCACAGGCAGGCCAGATCTCTGAGTTCGAGATCAGGGCTCACAGAGATACCCTGTCTTAAAAATAAATTTAAAAAATAATAAAAATAAATGAATAAGCCGGGCGGTGGTGGCACATGCCTTTAATCCCAGCACTCGGGAGGCAGAGGCAGGCGGATCTCTGAATTTGAGGCCAGCCTGGTCTACAAGAGCTAGTTCCAGGACAGGAACCAAAAGCTACAGAGAAACCCTGTCTCAAAAATCCAAAATAAATAAATAAAATAAAAATAAGTAATCCTAAACCAACTAAAGAAATTAGAAAAGCAGAAAGGAAGGGGACTGAGAGAGTGTAGCCTTCTTCTGTAGTTGTCTTTGGTATATTTTAGGGCTAGTAAGTGCCAGAACTAAGGGTTTTATGTGCATTACCTTATACACCTCTGGGCTAACCCTGTTTGTACTTTCCGTCAAACCAATTGTCCTGATCACATAGCCAGTGAGGAACAGAGCTGGGATTCTGAAGTGTGCCTGCCACTCTACTGGGGCTCTTCAGCACCACCCTGTTCTGCACAGGTATAGCTGACACAGATGGATACATGTATAGCTGAAATAGCTCCTGAAGCATAGCACAAGTGTTAACATTGATACTTTGTTTTCTGTTTATTGCTGTTGGTCACCAACTATAAGCTAGGCTCATAGACTTGTGGGTTTTGGATTGTTTCGTCTTTGTTTTATTTATTTATTTATTTATTTATTTATTTATTTATTTATTTTACACTGTAAATCTGTCAGACTTTTTAGAACCAAAAGTCTGGGCTAGGGAATCCTTTGAGAAGTTACAGCCTCTGTCTTGGTGATGGATCCTGGGAATCGGCATTACCGTATAACCTAAGCAGCTGGTGGTGCAGAATTTTCATCCCAGCACCCTTTCTTTTTTCCTCTTTTTGTCTTTCCCCCCTTCCCCACTGTTGAGAGGCAGAGTAGTCCTGACTGTCCTGGAACTCACTCTATAGACTAGTCTGACCTCAAACTCACAGAGATCCGCCTGCTTCTGCCTCCCCAGTGCTGGGATTAAAGGTGTGTACCACCACCACTGCCTCTTTGTACACATGGTTGTATTTATCTTTCTAATGACCGTTCACTGATACACCGACTCTGTGTTTGCTGTATATGTCGTCCTGTTCTGTGGAGACACAGTGAGCAAAGGAGACTTTTATGCACAGGGGAAAGACCTCACTTTCTGTAGTAGTCTGTGCACTCCAGCCCACATTGTCATTCAAGAAGTGTCCAAACGAGGGCAGTCAGGATGGCTCTCTGGGTGAAGGTACTTGCTATGCTAACCTGATGACCTGCGTTCAGTCCTTGAGCCCACAGAAAGGTGAGGGGACAGAACGGACACCACACAGTAGTTCCCGGACCTCCACACATGTGCTGTGGCATGTGTGCTTAATTAAAAAGAATTTGCAAGGCGGCTCTGGGGTGTACTTCAGTGGTAGCCCACTTCCCCAGCGTGTCTGAGGGTTTGGGCACGCTCTAAGATCCTCTAGAGCCAGTAGTGGGGTAGATAAGCCTTACCTCCTCCCTCTTCTGCGACACTGCCTGACATCCCATTTTCCCCACAGAGCCACCCTCCTCAGGGTTCGTGACACCGTCAGCAGCCATGTGGAGCGGGTGTTTCAGACCTACGAGCAGCACTCGGCTGCGCTTGACATGGACGCTGTCCTGCGGCCCTCGGTTGTGAGCCCCTCTGTGGCTGACATGTTGGAGTGGCTGCAAGACATCGACAGACATTATCGAAGCTCATATCCTTGAGTGCGGTCCAGGCCGCCCGCCCGGAGCTGCTCCTAGAAGCCTTTGCTGGCTCGGGTTGCACAAGGTCAGCAGTTGCTGCAGTTCTCTGTCAGTGCTCAGACCTGGCTGCTTGCTGCGTTTGGGTTTTTATAGGCATTCCTTACAGTTCACCTGCTAGGACCTGCTGTGAGTGTTGAGGGGCAGGTGTGAGAGAGGGCAAGTATATAGTGTCCGATGGTGAGGGCTAAGATTAGAGCAGGACCGGCTGGTAGGAAGGTGGGGCTGGGATTGGTTCGTTTGTTTTAGTTTTCAAGACAGGGTTTCTCTGTGTAGTCCTGGCTGTCCTGGCCTCTGTCTCAGAGATCTGCCTGCTTCTGCCTCCTGAGTGCTAGGATTAAAGGTGTGTTTAGCCCAGCTTGGGGTTGTGATTTTAACAGTGTCAGGGCAGGCACCCAGGAGGCAGTGATGGTTATGACATTTAAGCCAAAATTTGAAAGAGTGAAGGAATGAGCCCTGTGGGTATGTGGGAGTAGAACGGTCCAGGCAGAGGGTACATCGAGTGGAAAGGGCTGGGTGGGAGCATGCGTGGTGTATGTAGGAAATAGCCGTGAGGCCTGTGTGGTGAGGGCAGGGCATGAGGATAGTGATGGCGAGGGGGGGGGGCGGCTTGGTTTTTGAGAAGGATCTTGAAGGTTTTGGCTGTTATTCTGAGATGAATGTTCTGAGATGGTTTTAAGCAGAATAGTGTGGCTAAGGTCATGCTGACCAGCATTCCTGTAGAGGTCAGAGGATAACTGGGCAGAATTGGTTCTCCCCTTCCACCATGTGACTCCCCGGATGAAGTTCTGGTCATCAGATTTCAGCAAACACTTTTACCCAGTGAGCCATCTTGCCAGCCTTTGAGCCGCCTGTGGTTAAGGACCAGACTGTCGTCTTCAGGAGATCTAGCTGTGTTCGTCCGGAGGTTGTCAGCTCTTCTGTTACCGCTGGGGAAGGCTCAGAGTCCCCACCTCGTCCTCCATCGCTGCCTTTCTTCTGGCTCAGGTCACCTTTCAACTACCTTTGACTCTAGCCACGTGTGCCAGGACACCATGCTTCCTCTGCCCCGTGCTTTTGTTTCTCTGCTTCTGCCCGTGGTGTGTCCATCTGAACTGCCACTGAGGTGTTTTTGTTTTCACGACATTTTGGTTTCTCTGTTTGGCCCTGACCATGCTGGAACTAGCTCTGTAGACCAGGCTGGCCTTGAACTTACAAGGTCCTTCTGCCTCTGTTCCTGAGTGCTAGAATTAAGGCATGGGCCCCTACAGCTGACCCGAACTGCCACTGAGTTCTATCTTTCAGGTCACTTTGCTTTCCTGTCTGGTCCATCCTCAGCGTGTGAGGTCTGGGTCCTCTTAGTAGCATCAGGTTGTGCTAGTACGGGTGCTCAGCTGTCTCTCGGCACAGTAAGCCCCGCCCACCCGGGAAGGTGTACTGCCACTCCAGCTTCTGCCACTGAGCTTCCTACACTTCTCCCCAGCAGGTTCCCGTTCCTATTTTTTATTTTTTGAGCCATCCTTAACTTCTGGGAAGGTACCTGAAGAGAAAGTACCTCCTCTCCTCCATCCACTGGGGAGACTTGGCCAGCATCCAAGCACTGCCTAAGGCCTGGGAACAAATTTCAGAAGACGAATGCCAAAGCTTTGTGCCAGGTACTGGTTTCCATTAGCTCCCATGCTGCCTTCCTTTCCCTGCGGCTTGCCTCTGCGGGGATGTTAGAGACACCCCTGCTGTGCTTCGGGGCCTTAAACCTGATGTTGTGTACCCCGTTTCCTGTTCTAGATATCTTGGTGAGCGTCTCCTTCTTCCTGGAGGAGCCAGGAAGCTGCACAGTGACTGGAGATGTGGAGCCCCGCAGCTGAGTGCTGCTGTTGCCGCCCTCGGCTGTCTCCAAGTGAGCATCAGCACTGCAGCCCGACGCTCTGAAATACCAGTGCCGACGGTAGAGGTGCCTACGGCTTCTCCGTGCTAGGCCAAGGGCCCATGGCCACTGTACTGCAGCTCTGGGAAGTGGATAGGGGCAGAGGGAAAGGAAAGGCAGCACTGATGAACAGTGTCCATCTCCATCATTAGGCTTGAAGCGGCAAGGAAGGAAAGAACCAGGAGCTGAAGATCCATGGCTGTCCCTGCCTCTGTGTCAGCTGAAGTACTTTAGTTGGCTCAGGTCCTGGTTATGTGTATCTGAGTCCTCAGTGGTTTAAATCTGAGTGGGTCTGGGAGTGCAGGGCAGTAGCAGTGTGTTTGTGGCACATGAAGACCTGGATTCAATCTCTTGCACACCCAAAGAAGGGAGGAACTGAAGGAAAGGGAGCATTTAAAATGTTTACCATTTCCAGAACTAGCCACCAGGGGGAGCCGGTGCAACGTGAGCCGTTCTGAAGGCTTTGTCCTTGAGAGGTCCCTGTTGCTGAGGGCCAGGACTATCCCACCTGCCCCTAGAGAGGCGATCTCTGTGATTTTTGATCATCCTGGAGTACATATAGCTCCAGACCAACCAAGGCTACATACCGAGACTCTTGTCTCAGAAAAGGGAAAGAAATACGTTAGCTGAGAATAGTGACTCCCCAGGCTGGAGGCTCAGGTGACCTTTTATTGGCTACATTCTTCTGGGTTTGGAGTGATTGGCCAGGTAGGAGAATACGCCAGCTGTGATCGTTAGTTTTAATTGTTCGTTTGGAAGGGAGTCTCAATGAGGACTGTTCTAGATTTGGTTGGCCCGCAGGCAGGCCTGCGGGATTTTCTTAATTGAGGTGAAAAGAGCCATCCTGATGTAGGTGGCATCGTTTCATGGGCTGGGCCCTAGGTCACATGAGGGAGAGCAGGCTGAGCACTACGCCATTGCTCTTGACCGACCGTGGGTCTCATGTGACCAGCTGCTTCAGGTGCTTGCCACCTTGACTTCCCCACAGCGATGTACGGTCCCCTCAGATTACGAGCCTAATAAACCTTTCTCCTTTCAGTTGCATATGTCAGTGTGTTTATCGTAGTGTTCTAGGGCTTCCTAAAGGAACAGCTGGTGGAATGGAAGACTATATGGAGAGACTGGGGCTAGAGTGAGGGCAGTAAGCCTAAAGCAAAAGCTGCTGCTTCCCTATGCATTTATGTGGACAGAAAGCGTGGTTCAGCCTTGGGATGGGTCTCCCCGCCTCAAATGATCCAGTCAAGAAAACCCCTCCCAGGCATGTGCAGTTGCTTGGGTGTTAGTTGATTCCAGCTGTGGCCAAGATTAGCCATCACACACAGTGACAGGAAATAATCTTAGAGGCAGCCTTGAGTCATCATAGGTCAGAGCTTCAGTCACCCTCTGTGCAGTGGCCTCTTGCCTTGGGGTCCCAGCTTCCCTCTTGTAGAAGGCAAGGCTGGCATGCACAGGACCGGACACAGAGCGTGGAAACATAAACAAAGTGGCTTTGTTCTTACTACATGTTTTTGTATATAAAGGGAAAATAGGAAAAAAATTAAACAACAGAAAAGTAAAATGCAAAACCCACCCTAGATGTTTTGATCTATATCCCTTCACTGTTCTTAGCAAATTTAAAAACAAAAACCCTGATTCAAACTCATTCTTGTTGCCTTTGTGGTTAGTGGAACATCTGCAAATAAGCCAGCAGACCTGTACCAGATAGACTATCCAACGTTTGTGAATGTGTTGCTACCTTTTTTTATGCATGTTTGTGTCTAGGCATGCATGTTTGTGTATGGGTGTGTGGGTGTGTATGTGTGAAGACTCTAGGTGTCCTCCTTAGGAACACCATCCTCCCCCTTTGAGACAGTCTCTCATTGGTCTTGAGCTTACCAACTAAACTGTGTGGCCCGGCCAGTGAGCCGGGGATCCTCCTCTCTGTGTCTCCCCAGGACTGGGATTACAAACTAGCCACAATGCCTAATGATCTTCCTCGGCCTCTCAAATGTCAGGGCTACAGTTGAGTGCCACCATGCCCACCATTAGCATGGAGTCTTGTGCTGGGCCCCGGGCACAGAGCTGGAAGAAAGTTACAGGAAGTATTACAGTTCAGGCAGGCCTGGGGCCAGCTGAGGCCAGAAGAGGGCAGCAGGTCCCTGGAGCTTGGAGGTGGCTTGTCAGCACCGTGTGAAGTGAATGTGCTGAGGATAATGCTCCTGTACACTGTGAAGATTTGCCGCTCGAAGTGGTTTGGTAAAACACTTATTAGCCGGTAGCCAGGCAGGAAGTATAGACTGGGAGACCAGACTAAGAGAATTCTGGGAAGAGGAAAGGCAGAGAGTCAGTCACCAGCCGGACACAGGAAGCAAGATGAGAATGCCTTACTGAGAAAAAGTACCAAGCCACAGGACTAAACGTAGATAAGAATTATGGGTTAATTTAAGTTGTATGAGCTAGTTAATAATAAGCCTGAGCTAATATATCAAACAGTTTATAATTAACATATGCCTCTGTGTTTCTTTGGGACTGGGCAGGACAGAAATTTCCATCAACATGAATGTGGTTCTTTAAGAGCAGCTAGGGCTGTCAATCACTGATCTCTGCAGCCCCAGGCCTGACAGTTTTGAATCAGTGTTTCTCAAACTTAAATGTGCATATAAATGACCAGTCTCTTGTTAACATTTAGACTCTTGCTCTTTACTCTCTGATGAGGGCTCAGGTGATGTTAGTGCTGGTGGTCCAGGAGTTGTAGAGAGTTGGATTCAGATGGCAATGAAGTGACAAAAGGGTTACAGTTGACTTCAACTGGGAGAAAAGAGGCACTGGCTGCTGTGGGGACTACTTCATGGTGACAGTGACATCCGAGTTAGCCTTGGAGGGAATTTGACTTGGAGCTGGATGAGGGAGAGGGGAGCAGGGCAACCCATGGGGGCAATTCAGACAAAAGCAGCCTTGGCCTGAGGGTGGAGTTTGGTGAAAGTCTGTTGTGTGCCTGGCACCATGCTTGTTACATTTACCTCCAGAGCCTGGCATGTTAATAAAATTGAGAACATCGGCTATGTAGATAGAGTTCATGGGATGGGATGACAAGACCGCATCTGTGAGGGACCAGACTGTGAAGACTCTTGAGTTTGTATTTATGCCAGCTGAACAGACAGACCTGAGTCTTCTCAGCACTCACATTAAAGCCAGGTGCAGTGAGATGTGCTTATAATCTCAGTTCTGGAGAGGCAAGACAGACCCTCTGGGGCGTGTTTGACACCGTGAGCTTCAAGTTCATGGAGAGATCCTATCTTAAAAGACAAAGGGAGTAGAGAACAATAGAAGTAGACACTTGACAGCTCTCTCTGGCTTCCATGTGCATCTGCGCACACACATGCACACGAGTTTGTGTTTTGTGCTATCGATAAGAACTGTAGTATGTGTGTGTAGTTATGTGCTGTATAGCCTTTAAAGGACCCCATTCTATCTATGAGGGTGGCCCCATAACATGGTATTGCTAGTGACTTCCCAGGCGTCTTTGCTGAAATACACAGAGCCACTAAAGCACATCTCTCAGAATGTACCTGTATTATTAAGTAACAGTTATAAATGCTTTATGTTTGCATAATAAAGCTCTCTTTCCTTGAAACAGATATTTATGGTATTTGATAATAACTTATTTAAATAGAATTGTTTTCATTTTTTCGCTTTTAGCTTTTCTATTAAAAATGTTACTCTCTCTCTCTTTAACTAAAAATGCATTTTAAAGTTCCTGATGCCTGTGGAGGCCAGAGGAGGGCTTTGGATCTCATAGAACTAGTGTTATGGATTGAGCAGTGGTGGCACACACCTTTAATCCCAACACTTGGAAGACAGAGGCTGGCAAATCTCTGAGTTCGAGGCCAGCCTGGTCTACAGAACAAGTTCCAGGACAGCTAGGACTGTTACACAGAGAAACCCTACCTCAAAAAAAA